GACTCCGACTCCTTTTTACTTACCAACTTGTTATGTATATAAAACGGAAAAGTATTGGAATCGTGTCAAATTTGACCCTCCAAATTTTTTTTTGCAAATCTACACGTTTGGAGACCTCCTGAACCCCTGAAAAAAGTCAATAAAGGGGAAAAATTCACGCGCGCATGTGTGTTGGCGTCTGATTTGTTTAATTTTATTCTGAGATATTGTTTAATATCTCAGAATGGGTAAAGTTTAAGAAACGAAATGTGGCACTGTAGCTTGCATATAAAAGGGCATTAATACTATTAGATTTTGGTTCTTAATTAAAGGTCGACAGGGTGAAGAGATAAAAGTGGTCATGTGTCATATTTCTTAATGAATATTTTACTCGTTATTAGCGTTCAAAATTTAAAAAAAATAAAATAAAACTCGTCTCTACCCTCAAAGTAAGCTTTCTAGCCATTTTATAATAGTACAGTAAAACCCGTTAAGATGTTCTCGCCTAAGATGTTAGAATGTATATGGGAACACGATTTAGTTCAGACACTTTAACGCTTAATAACTAATTCCTGTCTTAAACCATCTGACTCCGACTCTGACCATTCTGACCACAAAAATTATTAGGCTTCAAACAGAATAAACAAAATCATGCCCCCCACCAGTAGTGTAGCGAAGGGGGGCGGCAGGGGCAGCCCGCCCTGGGCGGCACTTTTTAGGGAGCGGCAAAATTTCACAATAAATAATAATAATAACTTGTAAGAATTTGAACCATTTTATTTCATATTTTTGTCCACCTACGATTCGGACCGATTGAAATGAGCACGGAATAGTGTTACCATCCAACTCGCCGTCCGGGGATATCGTGTGCAACCTGTCGACCTTTTTTTCTTCTTTATTTTTTTGCTTGTACGATTCATTCGTAATCACATACACCTCCAATATCCAATAGAGCTAGGTCACTCGCGTTACTCCTATCCAAGTCTCCCTAATCGCTAACTGTAACTGATTTAGAATCGGCATGCACTGCATGTTATTCTTCTAATTGCAAAATGACATTGCGCATACGACAGGAATTTCTGTTCGAACAAACCTCACCTGCCGTCCGGGTCAGCTATTTTAAAAAGGTGGCAACACTAGCACGGAATTTTTAATTACTTATTCTGTGACGAAACTGAATTTTAATCTTTTAAATTGAGATACCTAAATAAGGGGGCGATGAAATTTTCCTCCTCCCCTGGCGGCTGACACCCACGCTACTCCACTGTCCCCACACAGTCTAACATCCACACATAGAAAAAACCTCGAATCTTTTGCATATCTCGAAATTTTACAGTGTCCTGAGTCCAAAAATGTAAAAATTTGGGAGAGGTCATTTTTTGACCGAGCGCTACACTTTTCCTCTGTTATATATAACAGCCGGAAAAGTAAAAATTATCGAATACATATTTATATATTACTTAGAGAAGTCTTTTAGCTTTGGAATAAAAAGTTTCTACGCTCTATCTTTATTAGAACTGTATTTATTGAATCTTTTATTCTGAAGTCACATGATGGTATCAGAATTTCCGAGACTCTTTTGGTAACAAATCCGCCCCTGGTCGGAGTCGGATGGTAAGGAAAAGTCGGAATCGGAGTCGGAGTCGGTAGATTTTTACCCGACTCCACAGCCCTGGAAAAATCTTGTTTTGCTGTTAAAAATGCCAGTCTAATGTGATACTTTATACACTGAAGTGTTAAATTGGATCTCATTCATATAATACTGTTCAGAATTGGGAACATTTCAGTTGTTTATTTTCGTTAAAATGGAAGTAACAGATGAATATAAGAGACATGTTTTATACTTTTTATTTTTAAGTGATGAGAATGCTACAAATGCAGCCAAAAAATTAAATACTGTTCATAATCAAACTGTAATTAGTGTAAGGACTGCGCAGAAGTGGTTTGAAAGATTTAGAAATAATGATTTTAGTGTGGAGGATAAGGCTCGTACTGGAAGACCCGTTGACTTTGATGATGATGCTCTCTCTGCACTAGTTGAAGCAGAACCATCTTTAACAGTTGATGAAATTGCGGAACGTTTAAATTCATCCCATGGAACTGTTCATAGACATCTACAACAAATCGGAAAAGTTTCAAAGCTAGGAAAATGGATACCACATGAACTGTCAATAGCTAACTGACAACAACGTCAACTGCTCAACTCAAAAGCTTCAACTGGGAAATTTTACCTCATCCACCATATTTGCCAGATATTGCTCCCAGTGATTATCATCTTTTTCGGAGTTTGCAGAATTTTTTAAAAGGAAAAACTTTTGAGGATGAGAACAATGTAAAAAAGGCTATTTCTGAATATTTTGATTCAAAACCGAAATCATTTTACAAAGACGGGATTAAAAAGCTACCATCAAGATGGCAAGAAATTGTACAAAATAATGGTGAATACATTATAGATTGAAATAAGATTTAATTAAAATTTTTTGTTGCTTTTTTTGTAGATAAAAATGCGCACAAACTTATGGACTGACCTGATACATTATATTTATATTATACTTCACTATTACATTATATTTATATTATAATTCATTATTACATTATACTTATATATATGAAGTGTGTATAATATAATATGTAATTTAAAAAAATCATACCTATTGGCATTTTTTCATTTATTTCAGTATCTGATATAAATTTTGTAACTGATGTAAAAAGAGAGCATTGATCAAGAGACCAATTGTTTTCATGGCATGCTGTTTGAATCAATGAAATTAAATATGAATTTGGAAAATGCAATCCAGATAACCACATCACTGTAAGCTCATTAGAAGCAACCTGAAATAAAATAAAATTTTTAAAATTTATAAATTAATTATTTTTTAGTATTGTATCTCAAAATTAGAAAGAAAAATATGTTTAAAAAGTATCAAAAAGTGCCTTATTATTCCAGATATTAATAATCATTTTTTTAAACTAACACTATCCAGATTCAAAAAGACAACAAGTAAAAAATTATCACAAGTTTTTATATATTAGAACAAACTCCTTACTCTCCAATCTCCCATCTCTATATCTGTGTGTGTAAAGTGTTTTGGAAATAACCATCCATTAATATAAAAGATAATTTAGATTAACAGAATATATAAAATAGAATATTTTCATTTTTTAAAATTCTTTATCATTATAGGTTTTTGTTTGATTACTTCTACTTTTCAACTTTTAAATATTTTAAAATGATAAACTAGAAAAAGCATTTTATGTCTATGCTAGTATGGTAGTATTTTGATAATAAATGATCTCTGATTTTATAAGGCATCATTTGTTATTTTTAAAATAGTTTTGTTAAGAAAATATACTTTTATGCTTGTATATTTTATTTCAAAATAGTAAGTACTAATATTAAAGACACAATGATAAATCTTAGCTATGTATCTGAATTACAATATTTTATTCTAATTTATTTTTAATAGGTTGAAAAGCATTTCTTGTTATGCATTTTACTGTATAAGAACTATACCATACCATTAATAAATAGTGGCAGTGAATTATATCATATGGATCTTCATCCAATAAGAAAAGCCTATGCCAAGCATGGAAAAAAAAACTGTTCAAATAGAGTAATACCCGTGGACTACTTCATTCCAGAACTTTCTGGAGAGCAAACTCTGCTTTTGTCTTTTGTGCATTCAGTTATCTTGCATTTAAAAGTAAGTAATTTTTCTTTATTTGTTTCATTAATTCCTTTAATAAACTGTTGTTGTTTGCAAGAGAGCTGTCTGCTAATAATTTTACTGTGACAATACATAAAACTAGATTGTTTTGATTAATTATTGGTTCATTTTTTATTATTTCATTCTGGTTCATTCAAAATTTAAAGAATATTGCAATTGCAATATACTTTGAATTTTTATTGGCCATGGTGAGAGGCACTGTAATTGCCATTGCATTTCGTTGAACTTATCAAAGCAGAATTGCTTATAAGTATCAATTATAAATACAGTTGCATACAAGTTTTGAAAAGGTACAGAATGATCTAGAACTATCGAAATATAGAATAGAATAGAATGTTTATTAACGTAATAGGCAATAGCCTGTTACAAGGGGGATGTTTACACAATTATTAGAACTTTACATACATTAACTTTTCGATGAGCATTCGCCTTCCGTCTGTTACAATCAGGGTGGTTGGATTTCACAATTTCTTGATTATCTACATAGATTTATTTCTACAACTAATTATATTTTAACTTATACATCACATTCAGTATGTACCTTTTTACCTGTTTTAAATACACTTCAAATTTATTCATTATTCCGTATACAATATCTCAATGTTTTTACATTACATAGATCTTATTTTCGTTATTAAATTTATATTTATGATAGCTACTTTAACATAGTAGATTAATTTATTCTTATTTCTTCATTTTTTGCTTTACTAAATACTATGATCAAGTGTTTATTAATTATTAACTTTGACTGTCACTTCAAATTATCATACAGGTTACCGTAGAACCAATTATTATGTTAGGGTCTATAAATTTCTTTAGTAATACTTTATAATTTTTTCGCAAAGACCCTATATATATTTTTCCAAAACCCTATTGGACAGATTTTTTTTTTTTTTGTTAGACTCTCTCATATTTTTACTACCATTACATTACTAACATTTTTTCCTTTACTTTTACTTTACTATTTTCCAGTTTTACTAAGCTTTTATTACAATTTTTTTCAATTACTGTTTTCTTATTAGAGGAATATAAACTTAATTCGGTATGATTCTCTTGTCAGTCCTGTTCTTTTTAATCGTCTGTGTATTTCTAAGAGAACAATCCATTTGAAGAATCTTGTTTGTATTCATATCAATTGTATATATTATATTATCCTTAATATAGTAATCATCTCTTATTAATATTTTATTTTTAGTAGTTTTTTCCACTTTAATTTGATCCTGTAGTTTTTTTCTTCTAATTCTTGATCTAATACACAAATCCGTTGTAATTATTATTTTTTTCTCGGTTTCATTAACAATTTTTGGTTTCAAAGTCCAAAATCTTTTGAGAACTAAATTTCTATCTTTTACAGATTCCAGAATTACTTTTATTATTAGGTTATTCTTACTATTTTTAAGTTGAACTAGTCCTTCAATTTCTATATTTTTTAGACCTAATTCTTCGTTAATAAATTGTTTGATTTCTTGAACAACGTTCCATGTTTTAACCGGAAAATTAAAAATTATTATATTCTTATTTGTAGTCTCATTTACCAATTTATCAAATTCGAATTCCAACATACCTTTTATCTTTTCGTTATTTTTATAATTTTCTTCTAATTTTTGTATCTTGTAACCAATTATCTTCATCTCTTCTTTATAACTATTATTTTCTTCTTTTATCTTATTAACTTCAGCTTTTATTGATTGAATTTCTAAGTTTAACTGGCAAAATTTTTCCTGAATTAATTCATATATAGATCTTAACGTATATTGTGAATCGTCAATACCTTGTTTTTCGGTTTCTCTTGCCGGTTTAAAATAATCCTGAATTTTCGAATTTCTCGGGGTCCCATTATTTCTTTCGACCTTTTCTTCAATTTGGTATTCCTCACTTAAAATTTCCAGTAACTGTGTTTTCCTTTCTTCATCCTTGTGACTTTCCTTCCTAGGTCTACCCCGCCCCCTTTTTTGCATATCCAACTGACTTGACCGAAGTGGTGAGCGGGGGAGAGGACCAGGATTTATTTCAATTCCGGCAATTATTAATAGTATTTTAATCATTCCCAATGTTAAATTAATGTCAACAGCTCTAATTTGTACATACCACATTGTGTAATTTTTTGTTATTTCCATCCCAAACTTGTTCTACCAACCTCTCAAAAAAAGTTCACTCGCACGCTTGACAGCTCTGACACACCCCCTCAAACTATCGAAATATGAAAAGAATGATATAAAATATATAAGTTCAGACATAATGAATGAACAATAAATATCCTTTTCATTCATGATATAATTTTCTTTGTAAAAAAATAATTTCCTGTTTAGTTAGGAATGTGAAGTATTTGATAAATCATACTTGGTCAAATTTTTTATTTTATCAAATGATTTATCAAAACATTTTGATGATGTCAATTGACTCCACTGGGACACTATGGCTATTTTTCTTCAGCAAACTGATACTATCAATAAAGGGGAGTAAGGTGTTTTTTTTTAATCTTTATATCTGTATATATGGCATTATATTCAATTATTGATAATAATTACCTAAATTATATAGTTTTACATTAAATTATTGTTAATTATCACCTAACTTTATCTGAAATAAATCATAATTTTATCATTAAAATATACAGTAGACCTGCAGTAATCCGACAAACGTTTTGCAAGGAGGTGTCGGACGATCAAATTTGTCAGACTATAGAGTATTGCCACCGACCCCTTGTAGTCCAAAACTTTTTTGAAAAGGAGTACCTTGTAATCTGACAAATTATGTACGTATAAAAATGGTAAGATCAAATCTATATGTACTACATAATATATGATATGAGACTTATGAATTAAACAACACAATAGAAGCATAGGGCTTATTATAAAGTTAATGTCATTAACGCTATAGCACTTGCAAAAAATAATAACTAAACATATTGATATCAATCAATTACATACAACATATGTATTTCCAAGGTACATACTATGCATGATCTTAATTTAAAAATGGATAAACAAATAAATTTATGGTGCATGCAAATATTCATCAATTTTCTCTTGTTTTACATTGACTAAACGTGAGAGTGAGGCCTTGTCTCTCAGTCTCCTCAGAAGTAAAAGTTTGTTGTATGGTGCACTATTCTTTTCAGCCCATTGCATACCAAGCTGCATATGGGCATGTCAGATTATAGGGGGTTCCAGATTAGACAGGGGCTGGATTACTGCAGGTCTACTGTACTTAATTTTCTTTATTCTTCCATTCTTCATTTCTTCTTTCATTTTCTTTCTTTCATACTTGATTCACAACAATTTATGCAAATAAAAGTATAAATTCACTATCCTATAGGCTAGGAGTCTCCAACTCCTGATTTCTGAAAAAGGCCATATCAGCTGTAAAACATTAGTCTAGGCCAGGGGTCGGAATTAGCGGCTCTTCGGACATAAACTCCAATTTCACCTCACCTCATTTCACTGCAGCCTTATAACTTATGTGTTTATGAGATAGAGCCGCCGAACAAACTTCGACTCGTATGCCATCCGCATATGACCACACTCGCATTGTTCAATATGAGTTGCATAACAGTGGTAGCATTTGAAGCATATCTATATATATTGAACACGTGTCCGTCCATCCGTGTAACGTTATGCCAAAAATGTTCACTAGACGCGCCCCTATCGTGTGTCGTATTTCGCACATTTAAATTAATATGAGGCTCTCTGGTACTTTTGTTATCCTGTTTTTATGACAGTTTGGCTCTTCTCACTTGACAAACTGCCGACCCTTGGTCTAGGCCAAGGTACAAAAGACAAAAATAATCTTAATCTTTGACTATATTTCTGAATAACAACAGACATAAATCAATGTGGAATTTTTAACTGCTTTTTCAAAAGAATGTCATCAAAACTGGAGATAAATAAACTTTATAGCATTCAATATTAAAACCTCACTTAGATATTTACTGGGCAGTGATTTTTGACATTTTGATTTTGTATATTTTATTTTTGAAAAGGTTTGTTTGCAAAGATACATAGAAATAAAAATAGAAAATATACCGTGTACAAACTTCTTACAACTTTTTAAAATTCTCTTCTGATCAAATTTGTGAAAAAATTTAAAGACTTCCTTCTTTAAATAATTTTTTATAAAAATTATTTGCAGCATGGTCTGCAATTTCTAATTTATTTTTAAAATTTGTATACTTTGAACTAGCATAGATGCTGTTGATAAACTATGTTGGTAAAAACAAATTATGTGGGTCATAAGTTGGAGACTCATACTAAAGACTTTAGGACATTCTCAATCTTGAAAGTGACTACATTTAAATATGGAGAAATGAAAATGAAAAAAACTCACCCACTTTTGATACTGATTATAACGCTCACAAAAATGTGTGATCCAATCACCTAAGGATTTTTGAGTTGGAGGGGAATATTTTTCCCAAGTAAGAGGAAGTTTGCCAATACTTATACAATGAGTGATTACTTCTAATTCAGAATCCAGTCTGTCTTTGCCAGATAGTGCCTAAAATTTGAATATAAAAATTAATAATATGGTCTAATGAATAGTTTTTGTAAAAAATATGAAATAGTATAATAATGACTGATTTTAATCTGTGGTATAATCTCTCAGTTTAACAACTACTTAATAAATAGGTTATTAAATATATTTATTATAACATAATTATGAAAAAATTATAGAAATCAAAAATTTCATTTTAAAAACATAATATACCTTGTAGTAATATTTTTTCTTTTTTATATAAAATTTAATTACATATATATAATAATATTCAGAAATCAAATGTTTTTTTATTCAGAGATTAAATGTTTTTTTATTCAGATTAAATTTACAATTGTATCTTCAATAAATTCAAAGTACAGTATAATAAAAATATCAGAAAATTAGTGATTGTTATTCTATGAAATAATTTAATTGCTAACATCACTTGTCAAATATCAGCTGATTTTATTACTGTTATCATTAATTCATATTATGTTGTTAAAATGTTAACTGATATAGCATAACCGATACAATTTAAACTAGGATGAACTCAAAATGAAATAATTAAAATGATGTCAACAAATGTAAAATGAAATCAATATCTTTTAATGTAAACTGTTCTGAATGAATAGTTTGAATTACAGAATAGACATGACCATTTCACAATAAATATAATTTGAGCATGAATTGATATGAATTATCCACATAGACATTTTATAGTCTGAAATATCTATTCAAAACAATTTATATTAAATAATATCAACTGATATCTAACAATAATAAATGAAAATAAATTAATACAGGTATACCTCACCTTACATTGGTAATTGATTCTAGGAGAGGTGATGTAAGTCAAATTTACTTGTCACTAGGCTAAACCACAAATTACCATTCTCAGTTCTGTATTTTATTTATTAATGCATTTTTAATAATATATGGTTAATAAGAATCTATTTTAAGCTTACAAACAAATAAACTTTAGTTTTTAATATAGTACAGAAAAAGTAATTAAATTTATAAATACATGTACTTTAAGTACAGTACACACTTGTAAATGTACATGTTTGCAATTTGGTGATGTTTACAGTACATTGCAGACTTTTTATTTGTGAATGTGGTTTCTCTAAGACATTATAAAATAATATGATTTTTTAAGGTTAACAAATAGTTATTAAAATTATTTTGCGATAGTAGAAAATAAACTAATTTATAAGGATGCACCGATTAATCGGTAAGTAATCGGTAATCGGCTGTATCGGCCATTTAGCTGATTAATCGGTATCGGCCATTTCTCCCGATTAATCGGTTTCGATAATCGGCCAATTTTACATTTTGGTATTTTTGTTAGAATGTTACGTACAATGCTAGTAATAAAAACTAATAAATTTCTGTTATATATTTATTATTTATTACATGACAATCTGAATATTAAAAAAATTTTACTAATCAAATTATTCCTTTTATCGATACATATTATAAGTATAATATAACGTATAATATAAAGTTTAAACTTTACATAAGAAAAAGTATTGAATAGGTTAAGAAGAAAAATTAAATTTTTATTTGTTTCATAAGTTTAAAGTTTAAATACAAAACAAATATAAAACAAATAAAAATTTAATATTTAAACTGTAAAACCCTTAAATTACAATTTAAGGGTTTTACAGTTTGTTTTTACAATGCAAAAACATGAGAATTTCATCATTTTCAGGGCATAACCTATTTTTTGCCGGCTCATAAATGTTACCTCCAGTGCTGAAAATTTTTTCACTTTCAATGGAAGATGCTGAGGCACTTAAATATTTCATAGCTATTTTGCTCAAATTAGGGATAAATGTAAATATGTTTCTAATTCTTGATCGAAACGTTTGTTCGTCTCTTTCGTTTTTTTTCTTTTTTTTTAAAAACATGCTATTCTTCATTCTTTCGTTTACCAGAAGCTAATTCATCAAATAAATCAGAAAAACTTAGAAATTCACCTCCATCTTGATCACCTCCAGAAGTAGAAGCTTCAGAATTTAATTCTTATTGAGATTTCCTCTAGCATATCCTCTTTTTGAAATTTCATTTTGAATCTAATAAAAATGACAAGCATAAAGACTTGTTTTCTATATATGCTGAAAATCTTTTTTTATTGGATTTTCTAGTTCTTCTGTTGTGGTATTAATGCCACTAAAGGAACTACTGATCTTTGCTTTTGATAAGAATAATTTCAGAGTCTCTATTGTGGGAATTATTGAAGATGAAGTGGCTTCTCGTTTGCTGGCTTTCCACAGTAATTTCTTTGAATGGTTTTACAAGTAGAACAATTTTTTCAACGAGAGACCACTGATATGGGCTCAACGTAGGAATTTTATTATCTATAGTATATGTGACAAGGGCCTTTTGCTGTTCCAACATGTAGTATGTAGAATTCCAGCGAGTAGGAACATCTTGAATTAATTTGTGTTTCTGCAAACCTAACTTTTCTTGCAAATCTTCTAATTTGATTACAGCTACAGCAGAATGATTAAAATGTGTGACAATATTTCTATTAACTGTGATTATAGTTTTCACATCTTGTTTAGAAAATATGCATTCGTTTAGTGTCAGCTGCAGCGTATGATAATGCTTCTAAGTTGCAATTCCTAATTCCAGCTACCAGATTTGCTGCAGAATCTCTTAGTACTAAGAATATCTTATCACTTGTCAACTTATACTGTTCAAGAACAATTTTTAACTGTTCACTGATTCGTGTAGCTGTGTGGGAACCTTCAAAGGAAACAATTTGCAAAACAGCTCTTTCCTGCTGAAAATCATCCTTCAACCAGTGAGCTGTTACACTTAAAAAAGGAGAATTGTTTGTAGTTGCTGTCCAAATATCAGCGGTTAAAGAAATATATTTTGTTTCTGTTAAACACAAAAACACTTCAGTTTTTTAAACATGCGTCAACAATTAAGTGTTGAGATTTATTTTAGAAACAAAGGAAGAGATTGTTGATTTTGCGAGGATATTCGATCGTCTCTTGTTTACCTGACCCGAGGGAGATGGAAATACCAGGTGGAGGAAAATGGGTTTTTTCCACATTATAATTAACTGTATAACAACATAGAAACTCAGATATTTTCATGTTTTATTCTCTAGGATTTATAATGATTATAGTAACGTTTACTGTAAATGTACATATTTTAATATGATTTTATGTGCTTTAAATGCTTTTCTAGTGATATTGTGACTTCAATATTTGTGGCAGATGGGCGTAAAGTCGAATAAAATGACTTAAACTTGATTTTTATTTTTCCATATACTTTTTTGAAAAACAAAGTATAATCGAGAACGATTTAACTCGAGGTATACCTGTATATAGTTATAAGCCAATAATCTGTGTACTGGATATTTCCATAAATCCAAATCTAAGCTTATGAACTTATTCTTGGCTTGTACCAGACTGCTGTAATTTTGATAGAAAAACTTTTGATAAAATATTTAAAATGATATCTGATATCATGTAATGTGAATTGTTTTAAGTAATATTTCAGGCTATGAAGTGGCATGAACATTTCATACCAATTTACTTTATTTAACATTAATAGATATCATTTGAACATCAACTGACATAAAGAGTTAATTTGTCATTTCAAGTCCAAAATATTCACACGAAACAATTTACATTAAATGGTATCAGTTGAGAATAATTCAAATGATAATGATTGACGTAAGTGAAATAATGTCAATGATTATTAAATTATCTAAAATATTTTCCAATAATAGAAATATTGGAGATGTAACAAATTAAAGTTACATCTCCAATATTTCTATTATTTATAGTAGATATATTAAATTAATTTACTGTCTCTATATTTGAACAACTGCTTTTTAGAATACCAAATCTTTAATTTCTAATGAAAGAACTTTTTTGGCTACCATTTACCTATCCTCAATTTCAACTAATGATATTTCACAAACTGTTCTTTAGTTCAAATTAACATTAACCTGCTCTGATGTTACTTTGAGCTAAAGAGAAAGTTTTGAAATATCATTAGTTGAAACTGAGGATGACTTAACAGTAATTTTCTATCATTAGAAATTAAAGACTTAGTATCCTTAAAAAACAGTTGTACAGTACAAGTATAGAAACATGATACTAGGTTTTGTAAATTATGATGATTAAATTAAATTTTTAATAAAAAATTTTTTGAAGATATTTACCTTTATTAATGTTTGTAATGTAGATAATATTTTATTTAATAATATATTAAATAATTCCAATTCTTGATCTAGTACTGCTGTTAAAGGTAAGTGCATTCTTGATTTTTGATGAGATGCAGTAATTATAGTTTTAGGCAATTTATTAAAGATATCAATTGCTATTTTTAGATTATTTTCATAGATAGTGTCATTTTCTTCATTTGCTGTAAATACAAATAAATATTATTTATTTAATAAAAAATTATATAAAATATAAATATTTAAATTCTTTATTAGATGTGTGAGAAAATTGAAAAATACTAACCTTTAAGTGACTGTAACTTTTTTAAGCTTTCCCAGAAACATTTAGTTTCCTTACTTAAAAATTTTATTTCAGCATTTGCATGCAATCCTAGGATTTCTACAGTATTTGTCTGAGGTAATGAATTGATATATTCTGTAATGTAATGATACTGTATATACAATTTCAGTTAATCAAATATGAATATAAAATAAATACTTCTTTCTAAATCATGATTTCTTAAACTATAACTAAAAATTAATCTAATTTCATGTTACTTTTGGAAGAATAATACATATTAAAAATGTACCATATTCAATATATATATTTAGTCCATTTTTCATAAAAATCCAAAACAATCTTTTTTGGTATATGCATGTACAAAATAATTCCTAAATAAACCTATTTTGGAATTTATTCTGAACTTAATATAAATTTTATTCATCAATCTAATCTAAATTAATAATTCATATTATGTACATTTTTGAAAATAGTCTTGATTAAAAATGAGTATTCATTATTACATTCATTTAAACAAGTTTTGAGTTTTAGCCTTTTATTAAATTCATTATTGAGTTTACTTAATAATGAAGATTATTAATTTTTAAAAATGTTAAAATATTTCAAACTTCTGCTCAAGCATTTTTTTAAGTTTTATTAATAAGAATGAAATTTAAAACTAAAAAATTTTAGTATATGCAAAAAAATTGTTTATTTGAAGTTAGCATTAAAATCAAAAGTTTTAAAATAATTTTGATGCACTTTAGCACATGCAAATTTAAAAGCTTAAATATTAATAACTGCTAATTGACAACTCATTAAACTTAGATATAAACACTGCAATAACCTAAAAAACCAGCAACAATATTTTAAACAAAGTGCGAACATTTTCACCCATGTTGAATGGGCATCATCAGACAACAAATTGTTGAGAAAACACTGGGGGTTAATAAATGTGTGTAGGGGGAAGGATATTATGTAAAATGGAATATGTTCTTAAACATCTGGAACAAGTGGAAATTTACAAAGCCATCTGTCATAAACTATCTTAATGTTGACAACTTGCCTGAAAGTCTTTTTACAAATTATAAGCTCTGTCTTTCCCCTCCCTTCACCTTCCATTTTATGTCATATACCCTTCAATCTACACATGTGTTTGGCTATCCTCAGTGTTTTCTCAACAATTTGTTTCCTGATGATGCCCATTCAGCATGGGTAAAAATGTTCGCATTTTGCTTAAAATATTATTGCTGGTATTTTAGGTTATTGCAGTGTTTATATAAAAGCTTAAAATTTTGATCAAATATATTCTGAGAATGATCAAACTGAATTTATCTTAGAAGAATATTTTTAATACGTCTATGTTACATTCAAATAAAGTAATTATTTATACAATTTGGTCATGATTTACACATTTCATTTGATGTAATTTTGAAACAATATTTATACAGTGTAAATAGTAGTAATAAAAAAACTCATTATGCAAATAATAAATTATTTTAAATTTTGTATTTACCAGAATAAAAAGTTAATCACCAATTCAAAAAATCTAATGAGTAAAATCAAATAAAAAATGGCATTTAAAAGTTACCTGCACTTTTTTATTATGCTTTACAGGTAACTTTCAGATAAATTTTTGTGAGTAAATTTTTTCTTATTTAACACATTCAAATTTTTACAACAACTTTTATTTTACTATACAGAGAATATGATTATATCATATAGAATACAATAACTTGAAAAATTGTTATTCTGATAACTACTTACACATTCACAGATGTATTCTCAAATTTTAATATATTTTGATGAAAAGTGATCTTATTTTACACAAATATTGTATTTATGAATATGTTCTAAGAATGTATGTGTAAATCATGACTATCCTATATTTTCTTTTTTATAGTACAGTATTAATAAATTACCTAAGTATTCATCTTTACTGTATACTTGAGGAATAATATAACTTTCATTATTACAATAAAAATGAAATGACTGGTAAGTATCAAAGATAAAGTATCCCATATATTCATCTACATATGTTTTAAGAATTCTTTTATCAAATTTATTAGTGACATGGCCTCCATATATTATCTGTTAAATAAAAGAAAATGTATTCATTTTATATTTTCTACTAGAATCAAACAAGTTTGTAATGTCTTATCAATTCAATTAAACATAATTAAATGATATTACTAAAAATTTATTGATTCCTTAGATTCAGATGTATAGGGTGTCCCATAAGTCTGGTCCCACACAAGAAAAAAACATATAAGCATAGATTCTGCTCAAAGTATACGTCACTGTGTAACATACATTGGTGGAGATAAAATTTCCACTCCTCCAGCACATGGATCACATCTGGTAAAATTTTCTGACACACTTGCACAATATATTCTTTAAGATATATGGGAATGACTTAATCATTTGGAATCTCTACAGATCCAGACTTACAGGACATCCTGCAGAATGAATAAACTTTATATTGTTTAAATAATAATTTTATTGCATTTCAATATTTGTTTAATTTCTAAACTTATGCAATATTAAAAATAGGCATGAACCTACTTTATCTCATATAAGGACTAATATTAAATTCACACTTTTAATAAAGAATTGTCCTTTGATATACAGAACATCTGGTAACCCTAGCTGAAGATGACCTAAATCAAGGTCAAAAACATTTCTAACTAAATACTTTTGGCAACCCCAACTTTAGCACTTTGTTTCATTACTATTATTTATTTTTATATTCCAGATGTTTAGTTTACACACTCTTAAAATATCAAATATTATTCTAAGATATATTATAGCATAATAAAATCTGAATTTATAAAAGTTATCTAACAAATGAGTTGAAGCATTTCTTTAACTGAAAGTACATAAAGAATTTGCCTCACTGTCAACATATTCATTCAACATTTAATTTAATAAAATCAATGGCATTAATATTAACAATTTCACTTTTAATGTATGATGCTTCTTTAATAAAGAATTATTACTCCAAAAATTATAAGAAATAGATATACAAACTTCTTTCTTTCTTAAGATGTTTTGTGAAATAGTTATAAATTGTTTTTATCTAATAAAATTATAACTATTTCAGTCATAAAAAATTATTACAAATATAGAAAATAAAATTTATATTGTAAACAACTAAAAAAAAAAGGCAAACAACCAATTTTATTTATATTTCCTTACCTCCTCTATAAAAAATTTCAATGTTTTCCATGGGATCTGATGATTTTCATCAGCTTTTAGATATGTATTAAGAATATCTACAGAAAAATTAAAATCACATTCATTGAAATCATATATAATATTCCACCCCAATTTTGAATATTTCTGTCTCTCCAATATTACAGAATGAAAGAATGCTAAAACATATATCAAAGGGAGAAAATGAACATTTTCACATTGAGGAAGATTTTTGTCAGAAAACTTCCTATAGAGACTTTGCAAACGACGTTTTAAACCACTTGGAGGTTCTACTATTACCTATATAAATAAATTATTGATATATTTAAAGTAAATATTAAATACAAGTAATTTATAATATTAATTTAAACTTATTTTTATTTAGACAAATTAAAAAATAAAAAAGTGCCAATTACAATAATATAAACTGTGTAATTATAGAATATTTCAGAGAAAATTTGTTAAATCATTTAATATCATATAGTGATTATAGTAAACTAAGAAATTTATTCCCCCAAAAAAGGGCCAATTTGTTATAAAAACAACCGAAATACTTACCAAAATTTTATTATTGGTTACAAACACATACATAATCAAGCAGTTCTCATATGAATTGCTGAAGTATCTGAGCAGTGAAAGCAGCAATATGTGAGCATGCATTGTCATGCAGGAGAACAATTCCTGATGTCAGGATTCCATGATGCTGATTCTGAATGGCACATCTCAGTTTAGAAGTGTTTCACAATACACCTTTATTGACTTTTGACTTTTATTCCTGGTTTCATGAAATCTACTAAAAGCATACTTTTTTTGGTTCCAGAACACAGTTGCCATAATCTTTCAAGCAGATTGACTTTGCTTGAACTTTTTTGCAATCAGTGAATTTTAATGATGCCACTGCATGGATTGTTGTTTGGACTTAACATTGATGTAAGAAATCTGTTTCATCAATAGTCACAATATTGAAAAAGATTTGTTTTCCTCACTATGATAGCAGTCCAAAAATGCACATACAGAGGTCATTCTCTGGTTTTTTAAGAATGTGTCAACATTTTTGGTGCCTATCTTGCACACAGTTTGTGATAGCCTAAGATTTCAGTAGTAGTTGGGAACAATGTTGTTTGTGAACATCTAGAAAGTCCATAGCAAGAGCAATAATTGTGAAGTGCTAATTTTCTTGAAGTTTGACATTCACATGCTCAAAAAGGTTGTTGGTTTGAATACTAAGCCTACCACTCTGCTCTTTATTGCAAATATTTTTATGGCCTTTCTTAAACTCAAGACACTATTTTTTTTTAGTTTTCCTTCATTTATTACTGTAGGCTCATAAATTTAATATAATTTGCAATGAATTTTGGAAGTATGATAATCTTTTTCTTGCAGAAAATGAATCAGACTGTACTCCATAGCTGGTCGGATTATTGATTTTTGCAGCCATTATTAAACACAGTAACACAAAAATAACCAGCAACAGACTGGTGAAAGTATGGCAGTTAAAAGCCCAGAGTACCAATTGATGCTACTGTCAAGAGCAATCTGACTGCTGTTGCCAATAAATTTTTATAACTATTTCGCCCTACTTTTTTAGAATATGTCTCATATATAATAATAAAATTTTGGTTTTCAAATCATTGTTTATAATTGATTCATTTAATATTGTCATAAATGCTGTTGAGATATTATTCTGTATGCTTTTGATTATGTGCATTTACGACTTTGCATTCTTTTTGATCTTGTTCCATCATTGGTGACAAGTACTTGAATGACAATCACTTTTCATAATTTAAAAAATTTCTATATAAATTACAAAGTTAAAAATATGTCTTATTATCAACTATTAACAATAAAATTGCTTTTTTGCTAGAAGCCAAAGTTTATTAGTATAAAAGGAATGGTTTTGGCCTATTTTAGGCCCATATCAACTTAAAGATACAATTGTTCAAAAAGTGGAACATCTGTTACAAACTCATTACAAATCAAACAATAATATTTACATAGCTATTGTCTTATAATTTAAAAATAAGAACTAGACCATAATCTTGTATTCAATAGATTCTGTCAATCTCACTGTGCACAACATTTACATTAATTAATTAAATTAATTTAAAAGGTTAAACTGTTACTTTAAATATAATAATTTAATCAGTTTATAATTTTGTGGCAGTACATCATAATTTTGTATATATGCGTTAATTGTAAGCTTAATATTAATTATTCAATCTTCTACTCCTTGTTTCCTTATTTCTCAATCTTTCGATTCTTCACTTCCTTATCGGGTGGGGGCAAGACTGTTCTGAGAACAAGATGAGAAGACAATAAAGAGCAAGCACCCTGAGGCATGTTGGGGGTGAGGAGAGAATGATCATTCTTGGCGAGGACTTGAGAGTGAGCAGACTGCAAGTGAAGGGATCCAGATTGTCATTACGAGGGACAGAGATACGGTGAATTGTCTATACGATTGAAGAAAGAACTCAGTGTATTAAGATCGAGAAATAACATATTTATTGATTATTCCAGATTATCGATCGGAATCGAAGAACAATATAGCAGCAGACTGGAACGCAGTTCTCCCCACTGGAAGGCATCAGAGAAATACGATATCCTGGGTACCTCCTATTCTTTCCTCTCTATACATCTAAATATCCATATTATTATATCCTCCCCCTTATTTTCTCCTAGTTTGTAAGTTAGTTTTAAGTCTTAGTTATAGAATTTCGGGAAGTATCCCATTGTACTCCATTGTCACAAAACCTGTCTCTATTCTATGATGCCACGTGTCTTGTGCCTTTGTTCTCTCATTATAAGTGTGTGAGGTCCAGAGTTGGGATCTGAAACGAATACTGTACGGATACCACTGTAAGGAACCAAGTCCGAGCGTTATTTTTAGTTATTTTTTATTTTGCTTTTTATTCTATTTTTGCTTGGGGCTTATGTTTTGTTAGGACGAAGGTTTCCTCACCATTCACCTTAGAAACTTAAAAATAGAAGAAAGAGAACCAACTCACTGACGAAAAAAAAGCGCCGTAGAAAAACTCACACACACTTGCGCTCCCGAGCAGAAAAAAGTAAGTCCGCAAACGTACAAATTTAAATTGCTTTCAATTTGTACGTTCCGTCCTTTTAGGGTCCATGCATATTTGCGTGTCTTAACAATTTAATATATTCTGAGTCCCTAAAAAGCGAAGGGCCGAGAGAGAGTTCAAGAAAGAGGGCGGAAGACCCCACATGCACAACTTAGGATCTTGCTAAACCTTAAAGAATAAAACATCCCGAAAAAATGTCAAAAAGAATAATGTAAAAGGTTAGCGAGTATTGTTGGGAAATAGGCTGCCAGACAGAAAGGAAAAGTTTACTGTTAGTGATAAGTATGTAAATGAGGGGAGTGATCTCAATCAGAATTATAGTAATCATAGTATAAAGTCCGAACCTCAAGTGAAGATGACTGAGGTGAGCTTCGTAGCAGCAAACAACAAGAGGTGTCCGATAGCGATAAAGTGGTTCCAATGAGATTTGAAGTTATTCGATTTGTGGATCGAAGATTAGAAAGTCTTGAGAGTTGAGGTTCCTAGTGTGAACCGCCGGGGAGGTTGGAGGTCTCCTTTCCAGTGACAGGACAGTGAATAGGTTCCGTTAAACCTGCTCACTGTCAAGTGGCTTAAATGTTTCTTCTTCCCTATCTCGCGGTAACAGGATTTAATTGTTCGGATTGAGTGGAGGAGGGAGGAGTGCCATCAGTAAGGTAACAGGCAACATACGAGCAAAAGAGGACACCAATTTAACAAGGAAACAACAATTTATTAGCTATCTACATAGACGGTACAATAATTATTATCGAGGGGAAATTCTGAGTCCCTAAAAAGCGAAGGGCCGAGAGAGAGTTCATGAAAATTTGTTCCATACCTCTTTATGTTGATAGTTCTCTTGAGGAAATTAATAGTATACATAGGACACAATATATAAAAATAGGACACAGTATCTAAGTGACGGTAGATGAACGACTCCCCCGAGAGGGGGAGGCAAGCGGCTTTTATAGTTTCGTCGTGGGAGAATGGTCATGTGATTAAGTGTTGTGAGGTAAAAGGTAAGCGGATGGGTCAAAGTTGTCCCCGGGACCATGCTAACTATCAACTTTGGAGTTGGAATGTGGGATTATTTTCAAAGTGGACGAATGTTTACTTTGAATGAAAGGGGGATTGGAATTTTTCCCTTTTTCATGTTAGGTTTTAGTTTAGAATTTAAATAAAAATTTAATTGGGGGTTTAGGAAAATGCTGGATATTAAACGGAAAATTCGATAAAAATTCCGGATTTCTCACTAGTATATTGAGGTGATGATTAGAACCTTAGTTCATAAGAATTGTTGTACATAAGTTAAGTCTTTGAATTTTTTTTGTCGAGTTCCAAAGTAGAATAGATTTAAGTTAGCAAATAGTGTGATTTGAGTTTGATCAGGTTGATTCTTATTGATTTTCTTTGAATAAATTTGTTGTTTGATTGTTACTAATTTTTGTACATAGTCATTATTAGAATTATTAAATATTGGATTGGTTTTGACTAACTTTGTCATTATTTCTTTCGGTGCACGCTTAAAGTCCAGGCCTGGCAAATTAACACAAATCCGTGTAAAGTACCCGTTAGGTAACAGCTATTTCCGGCACACAGTCATGTCGCTAATCGTTGTAAAAGATGAAAATCACTTAGTACTTTACACCACATGAATAGGTAAAAGGTTGGGTTTATTGGTCCTTTTGTCTATAAATAAATTTTATTTTGCTTTCAATTTGTATGTTCCGTCCTTTTGGGGTCCATGCATATTTGCGTGTCTTAACAATTTAAATATTATTGTTTAATCTATAATAAGTTCATAATAAATGTACCATTTTGTGAGTACTTGTATCTATAAAGCTGATGTTTACCTAAGATATACTATAGACTGAAAATATGCTTTTCATAGTAATAAATTTTAGCTTCCAGAAAAAAAATATATANCCAAGAATGTGCCCTTGGTATGTCACCTACTTTGCTGTCATGCCCATTACACCATTGATCTTTGATAGTAGATTCTTCTGCTGCTTTGGCCATTCCAGATTTCGTGCACTATAGAGTGGCACACCCTAACTACCAGTAGCAGATGGCACTACTGATACCCTCACTTAGTTTAGCCCACCAGCCGAGGCGGTTTCCCAGGGTGTGGCCGTTGGCATGCACTACCAACTACTTGGAGCCATAAATGAGAGTTGGGTCCTCATGGGGAACAGTCTACGGTGTAATTAGCATTTTTATAATTAAGACAATATAGTC